CTATGGATGACGTCCACTGGAGACCTTAAATCTAATTACCTTAAATTTAAGGCAAGCGCGCAATAAAAACACGAAGGGCCGAAAAACGAGATGCCTAGATTTGGAATATACTAACTGTAGAAGTACAAATGTTAGGACACAAAGAACACAAGAAACAAGTCTTCTATTTGTCATAAAGACAAATTAACAAAACAGCAGTAGTCACCCTGTTCTGATTCTTTCCTTTATAACATCTTCTCTTATTATATTTTGCGGCGCTGTCGTGACACTTTCAACACAGTAAGAATTTCTTGAACGTTTTTTTTTTCCAGTAACAGTCCAAACTCAACTAACGGTAGGGGGGGGGGCTAACACGGGTGACGACGCATCTGTATAATCTGCGGCAAACCGTTTCAGGGTGTTCTGTGCCATAAAAATAGTACAGAGATTCTTTTGTTCTTTAGACCAAATTGATTATTAAAAAGAGTGAAGAATACGCATGTTAATTTCTCTAGAACGATGTACCTCTGACGAAGACATGAGATCTCCGACCTCTAGTTCCATAGTGTTGGTGTGAGAATTTGCAAGATTTCCTCAGCGTTCCTGTCTTGACTCCTCCAGTGAGCTTCCCTCCTGTGAAATCTGGGTCATGTTGATAATATCTTGGATATGGGAAGTATGGAGAGGATATGATAGATGACTCACACCATTGAGAAGAAGGTTGTTTCGTTTTATAGTCCATATTTGTAAGGGATGTTTCCATAATTTTTTTATAAGGACGTAATGTATAAGTCAGAACATTATGTCCAACATTAGCTTGAAGCGGCCGGTATTGCTTACATACAAATCTCCCTTATCAGCATTCAGCAGGCATAATTGATCTTCTATCACTCAGCTCTCCTCTTATTAAACCCTCCCATGTGTGACAAAGCAGGGTAATGGTCCACGCTGGAAGCTTTTCAGTGCAAACACTGATTATTGTCAGAGACGTAAAACTTAAGTGTTTTCTTGGAATGAGTCCTAGAAATCATAGGAGTGTTAAATTGAGATTTGCGTCAGCAGGATTCAAAAACATGTTTATTCTGTACACGGAGTATAGTGTGTATATATAACATGTGGCGTAGATGATTTAGCTGTAACCAAAAACAGGTCGGTTTCAGTTGAAATGAAATATTCAAGTTACAATAGTACAATGAGACAAATTTTATCGGAAGTTCTTTTTTGAACGTCATCAGCTACATATACCTTCCTATCGGGTTATTAGATTATTGAGTGCAGAAGGCAGAAATTTGAGCGCGGGGTATTGGCCCTCCATCCCTGGAGCCCAGTAAAAAGTGTTATAGCTCGCCAGACGTTTATAGGATATAATATTTCTCCATACACCACTTGGAAACAACTGCTTCTCTGGGAATTCTTTCTCTGGGTCGTACTGTTACATAACATGGTTGTGAATTCCTGGGGTGCGTTGGATGAGGATCCATGTATTGGGCATCGTCATGACGACAGGATCATGGTCATCAGTTAAGGTTGTCCTTGAGAGGGTGGGGCCATAGCAGGTGAGGTCACTTCAGGTGGACGCGTGGAAGAAAACGTCTTCTGTCCAGGAACAGAGAACACCTTCAAGACTGATGGCTCAATAGGACTGGATTGAGATGATCAGCTCTGAAGACTAGATACAACCGTAATGTCTGCAGTTGCTGTCAACAATGATAACCTGTTGGCCCCATCCCATGTTTGATCATGGCGATGTGAAGATTATGTGCAACATTACCAGTGTTGTGCTACGTATGTTCACAACTGTTGGTTCACGCAGTCTTCTCTAGTTGTTATACGAAATCTTGTCCAACAAAGAAGTATTGCCATTTTCTGTTGACTGAATAATTTACAGATGCTAGTTGGTATAGCTAATGACGGAGCTCTTGTTATGTGGGATATGTGTACTTGTAATAGATGCCTGTGGAATGGAGTAGGGTAGGCACAAGATGTATGTAATGCTGATAGCAGGAGGATGGAACATAATCTATCACCTATCATCTGTTTAGGGATATGAGTGGTCCAGAGGGACCTTTTGTTAGTTCCTTGTCTGTCTGGAAGTCTAGGTTCCATGCCTGGCTCACATTTCCCCTGCAGACACCCCTCCCCACATGTCAGTAGTACACCCTTCACTGCCATATGTCACCATTATGCTGTTACTGAGCAAACATTTGTCACAAATGTGGGGCCGGTTTTACTGCACAAGGCTGTACTGTGGGGCCCATGCATGTGTTTGTCCCTCTATGTGGCACATCTGTGTATATTATCGTTACCTGAAGATAGCAGATTGACTAGTGGATTTGGGAAAGTCAACTGCTGGACCAATACTACTATTTTTTGATGCGGACTTGGAAACAAGCTTTTCTTGTTGTGATTACTTGGAGTCGGACATTGTTTAGACTAGACTAGAACATCTTGACAGTTTTATTTATGGGATAAATCACTGTCTATTGACAGGCTAAGTGCTTCTCTACTGAAAACGTATGGAAAATGCAAACTGTTCAAGCCTTCATGAGTCTTAAAACTTTAAGAAAAGGTACCTTCAGGAGAAGTGAAAGTTGTTAAACGTTGCGGAGTGAAATTTCATGAAAAAAAGCTCTTAAAAAGCCGCGCCTATAAGGTTTCGCAACTTCTTCCCAAAAATCCAATTACGCTTTGGCGAGTATATTAGGGTCTGCCCTCCGTGTCTATCATATAAATGATACACGCAAAAGTCGGGTCGTCTTCGAAGTACCTTATGTATCATTTCAATGATACGTGTAACTACCTAGGTTTTCCAAAGTCGGACTGACTTCACGGGGTCAGCATCCAGCCTGAGTGCGACCTGCAAGCTTCTTAGATTGCGTTGTTTTGACCAACTTGAGTTCGTTTCCACTGTTTTTCCATGATTTCTCTTCATTTTGCGATGGAATCAGCAAACGCAACCTGGTCGGCGGACGAGACGCTCCTGATACTTAGGTTTGGAGAGCACGAGTCGCCGAATTTGAAAAAGCTGGGGGGGGGGGGCGGCGAGGGCTCTACCGAAACAAAAATGTTGGAGGAGGCTGATTTCTTGAAGATAAAGGATCAGTGCCGCAGTAAGGTAAAAAAAAACAAAAAACTGAAGACGGCATACAAGTATGAAGGCCAAGGACAACAATCGGAAGAGCGGGAGGAACGGTTATTCAAACTGCAGTCATGGCCGATTAATTGGATATTCACCGGACAGGATTTTTTCAAAACCGGTTATCAAAAGTCTGGTATGAACGCTAAGGGTTTTAGCCGGGTTTTTGAAAAACCGGTTGAAACCGCTAAATGTAAGTCTGGTATGAACAGGGTCCAAGACTCCAGAGTCCTACTTGCTCCAGTTGACTGTAACTTGCCCCCTGTAGACTCCCCACTGAGAAGGATGTGGTGCTTGGTGATAGGGGGTGGGGCAGTCTTGATACCCCATTATTAGATCTAATTATGACCTAATTGACCTACTGATGAACACAGTAGTGTCCAGCTTGGCCCTGTCTGCCCCTGTGTTAATGCTGTATGGAAAGCTTTCCTTGGAAAGAAACACTACGTACAGTATTTTCCTTTGGATGCTCCCTACAAGGTGTGAGTTATCTCTCCTATCTTCTCTCTGCACGCTTCCCTCCCCAGGAAGCACTCACTCCCAAAATGTCACCGGTGAGTGGCTGACAATTTTTCATAGCTCTTACTAATCGCCATAGCAATGTCCAAGCCAGCTTGCATTTTTTTGTTGCCTTGACAACGGGCTGTGGCATAACTACTCCAGTGCCGGTATTTTTCATCATTGTCACATTGAATTTAGCTGCATGGCAGAAGGCAATTTTTGGTGATGCAACAGGATGGAGCTTTTTTCCCCTTGGTGCAGAGAACAATATTTTCTGTAGATGCTTTATGAATATTATATACTAATTGCCGGCTGTTTCAGTTTAAAGCTTATGAACCTGAGCACAGATTGCATTTGCATTGCAATGTTTGTGTTAAGGTGTTGTTAAGATTTCTTTCACTGAAACAATGATTTAGTTTTTGGGAGAGAAAGTGCTTATCAAGGAGACTTTACTTTGTTGTTATATATGTACTATCACTAATGAAGTTCTTTGAAAAATAAACATTTACCATTGACAAGAAGCCTGGTGCATTACTTAGCTGTATTTGTACCAGTACAAAATGTACATTGCTTATCGGGATTGAGAATAGATGAGATTGACATCTATACTTAACAGACAATAGTTTAGAATATGTTAATCGTAAATGATACCCCATTGGTGAATTTTGCTACAGGATTTTCGAATTTGCCACTACGGGTTTCATGGCAAGACTTTGACCCATTGTCCCCATAATACTTCATTTAAATCCAGAATAATCATGCTAGTGGAAACTAGTGGAAGTTTGTATAGGATACTTGCTGTAGGTTATACTAACTTGCAAACACTGGGATATACCTTTTCAAATATTGTGAATGGTGTTTTATATGTGCAAAAATGGTTGGCTTGGGAAGCTCCAATTTGACAAGACATTCTTGTCTACCAACATACTGAATGTATTGTTGGAAGTGTATTATTGACTGCAAACATTTTTCAAACATATACCCATACACACTATACACTATACACACAGAAGAGCATATGATGGGAAAATTGCCTATATCAGTAAACATGTATAGGTACTAAATGGTATTTGGATTAAGATTAATGCAGCATGAATGTATTTTGGGGTTATACATGTATTTGTACTTGTCTGTTGTAACACAAGGCTAACATCCCTAATTAATATCAAAGTACAATTGTAACAAACGAACTTACTTAGTTGTTTGGTCTTGTGGAAGACTTTTGTCCTGAAATCTTGTCATTCATGGCATATGGGTTCTGCAACCCCTGCACAAGTATATGAACATGCTGATTCATAGGTGCCATAGCAACAGTTCCCATAGCAAAGGTTGCCATAGCAATGGTTCCCATAGCAACCAGCTCATCCCACCGCTCCTCTTCCAGATCATAGAGACACTCCGGGAGCCACGTGGTGTGCCGAGTGCCGCCCGTGCGGAGGAGAAGGTTTGTGCTTGCCGACCGCGTGTGTGTGTTGCTCCGTGTCCGACATTCCCGCCTTTTCTTTTCCAGCTCATCACCATACCTGAGGCCAGGCCAATGCAGTTCTCTATACACTATCATTCGACATCAGAAATACACTGTTGTCTTTTAAATGTCACAGGAAGCTGCTTATGAATAGATGTTTTGTAAACTCATACGTTTGCAGGTATCTATTCATAGTGATGCTTTTTGTTAACCATAATAGGTCTCATCTAAATTACTAAGTACTGTACTTACCAGTTTACTTGAGTTTAACTCAATATCTTGAAAGAAATGGCAAAGAATCAGAAGTTTTAACATTTTTACACTCTAAGATGCTGTATCCAAAGAATGTCATTGGCCAGGCCTGCTGCTCACATCTCCTTCAAACTCCAAACAGTTGCTAGACAGGAATCTGAAAGCTGCTGTCCTGATTCTGGAGGGTTTTGACCTCCGACCTCCATCCAGAAGACTCCAACTGTCCAACATGACTAACAAAAGCCATCTCTCTGCTCCTGCCTGATATACCTTCAGCGATTGACATCCTCAACAGACAATTTTTACGTCTGCATTGAAGTAAACATATAACCAGAATAAAAGTTTGAGAAACATGTGACTTGCAATGTATGAACATCTCATAAGCATTCGAATATTTGTTCTTGTCAAAATCAAAGACAACATTCGTCAGACAAAAAACATTTTTTTCCTGACATCTTCAGAAGAGACTTTTGCAATTGTTGCTGTTTGAAGGAGTTTTTCCCTGAAGGTGTGTCGCTTATTGTGCATCTTGTGGTCTAAACAGGTCTGATCATGTATCTGGAAACTCTTCATGACTCTGCAATTCAAGGACTTAGGATATACCCAATAGTACTGTACGTTATACATGCATATGTCGGATGTCTTCAGTGTGTTCAAACAGGTATACAGGTTTTAATTAAATTATTTCCCAACAACATTAAAGGTTCAGAAAATTATGTAAAAGGTTATGATTTATTTGAATCTAGACATTTCACAAAAACCCAGCAGAAAAGGTCTGTTTTCTACACAAAGCCACAAACTAACAAACAAACAAGTAACCATCAATGTAGCCATGTTCAGCTTGCAAAGTCATGATCAGACATGCGTACTGATGTGTGTTGATTCTTCCCCTAATGCTTCCCTGCATGGACGCATGTACATGTGCAGCATGGTCTACCAACATTACTCCAACCTGGAGAGTATTTCCTTACTCTCAGGTTCAAGCCATCTATAATTCAAATGTCCACCAAAAAATCAATCACAGATTGTGTAACATAATGATTGACGAATCACTTTTCTTGTTGCTTTAGATTTCGGACATTATCGTGCCTGGCCAACCGGAGGATGTGCTGTTGATGTGGTCCCAGCGAACCCTGGAAGGTTATCCGGGCGTCTCTGTCACAAACTTCAGCAAGAGCTGGAGAGATGGGCTAGCTTTCAGTGCAATCATCCATAGACATAGGTTAGTCAATCCTTCTATACAGAAACACATCATAGCTCTTGTTATAAAGAGATTGGCCAATTGCAGTGTCTGCTATAGAGTGACTGGCTAGTTGTGTTCCTACATTGCCAGTCTTGGAACACATTGTCTTTGTCACAGTCTTGCCCGTTTATCTACTGCAGTACCTGGAATTTTACATGCTACTGCTTTTGTAACATTACGTTTATGTTTCCTTTCTTGCACAGACCTGATTTGATAGATTACAAGTCCCTTAAGAAGAAAAGCAACAAGCAGAATCTAGAGAATGCCTTCACCCTTGCAGAGAAAGAGTTTGGAGTCACGAGGCTTTTAGATCCTGAAGGTAGGCGTCTTCTCAGTATTAGTAAGACTTTGGTGATATTGTTGTTTTACTTGATTAGAAATGACTTGTTGTGTGGGAAGTAAAATGTACATATGACAAAAAATTAAAAGGAGCATCTGTTAAGTACTTTCAACACTATCAAAATCTTTTGAATAATTCACATCTGTTAAGCAATCCACACTACAAACTGTAACGTTATCTGGAATTTTGAAATTTTATGTGTATTCAATGCTGAAATTCCTGTGCTTGTGTTCCTCCCCTAGATGTAGATGTGCCATCCCCCGATGAGAAGTCCATCATCACCTACGTGTCTTCTCTGTACGATGTCTTCTCCGAGGTGCCTGACATTGAGCAGTCCCTACAGGACAATGTGAGTAGGGAGGTGTAGTGGGTGGGGGTGCTGTTTTATACCATGTCTTCCCCAAGGTTCCTTTCATTTAGCAGTTCCTACAGGACCATTTGTGGGTGTAGTGGTTAGGTTAGCTGTTTTGGTTAGGATGCAGGACCTGTGGACACTGGAGAGTGATTCTCCTTGATGTCTGGCTTTCAGCAGATCCTGTAAGATAGGCGTGTTAGTCTGGTAGGCTTGTAGGAAAGCTTTAGTTCCTATTTGTCTGATATAACAATTCCATCTAAAGCCCTGGTAATGTGTCAGTCTGATGACATAATGTTCAGAGTGTTATGAGAATTTTGAGTACTTAGAAAGACCCTTGCTTCTGTCCCTGCCAGGAACAGGCCTTACAGTTCCAGGATTACAACGACTGTGCCAGCAGCCTGTTAATATGGTTACGGAACACCACCGCTAAGATGGAGGATAGAAACTTTCCCAAGATGCCTGACAGACTCAAGGTTAGTAAAGACAGCTGGCGTTTAATGTTTTCATTTCAAGTACTTATCTGAAATCTGTACCAGGGTCTATGGTTTGTTGTTTGTTACCAGATATTCCCATTTCTTTAACTGTACAAATGTAGTTAAGTCTAGTGTGTAGTTAACTGTACTTATTGTTGACTCATGTTTCCCTCAGACACAGCTTGCTGAGCTGAACAGACTACGAATAGAAGTCCTGCCAGCAAAGGCTGGGGAGAAAGAGCAACTGTCAGGGCTGCATGACTACCTAGAGGTGGGTCACCATTCTGACACCTGGGTTAGCTGGGTTATTAACCTAGGTGTGTTCGATTTGCACTACTTGTATGAGGACAATCAACCATATTTGGATACATTTTAGATACAAGATACATTTAGCTACTTGTACAACATGTAAGTCAATGAGAGTGCAATGTTTGACATTGCTTCTAAGGTAATAATTTCTGTTGTTTTCCTTTTTTCCAGAATATCTCCATTGCCAGCCGTAAGTTTGAGGTTCCGGAAGACTTGAGCACAGAGAAGATTCAGCATGCCTGGGACTGCCTGAACCTGGCCATACAGGACAGGGAAAAGGACTTGTTGCAAGAAATAGAAAAGTAAGGGACTCCCAGTTTTTGCTACTTTAAACTAACATCCGTTTAGGAATTTATCTCCTGTTTTCCTTTAAGTTGGAGAAAACGCTGTTGAAGTAGATGTGATTTTTTTATGATAAAGAATGTGGTGGTTGAAGTCTACATCACTCCTAGTCTCATGGTTGTCTTCATACTACAATCTTGGTATCTTTGGCTAGGCATTGGGATTGCATGTCTGAAAAGTCATGATTTAGTTAGTACAATGTACTTCTGTCTCCTTTTGTGAGACAGAATATGGTAGGTGCAAGACATGAACTTCCAACATAGAAAGAAATGTTCATTCCAAAGTGTGATAACAGTGTTTTAAGCTAATCAATTTTCTCTGTTTAGGTTTGAGAGATTACGAGGGGTTGCAGAAAAGGTCCAGAAGGAAAGCAAGCGGTGTGAGAACATACTGAACACTGCAGAGGGCAAGCTAAGAGAGGTAAGGAGAGAACCTATTCAACTCTCTGGTGTTCCAATGTGTTGTCTCATGTCTTGTTTTATGTTGTATTCTGCATCATTTTTGTCTAACCCATTTGGTCTCCATTTTTTGTCATTTTTGAGTGGGCACTTGTTGGTCTTGAAACTCTTGACATTAGCTTTTGATTGTCCAGCTCATGCGTTGGGCATATGAAGTTTGCTTTTGATCCACAACTTGGATTGGATAGCTCATTTTACAGTAACTGGCCATTGTATCCTCAATTTCAGTTAGACAGTGAAGCATAGTAAGACTTTACAAGTGCTCAATGTGATCATCTTTTGATTTCACTGTTTGTCATATATCCAACCTTTTTGTTCATGTGTTTTGTCAGCCATTGATTCACCTTCTTTTTTTGCTGTGTGTCCTTGTGTTCAATGATGGCATTTCAGCAAATAAGAATGGAAGTTGCCATCAAGTTTTGCTACAAGGTAAAGCAGCATGAGATCTAAATTAGTACCAGTAGATCAGATGTGTACTCTCTTTTCAAAGCTGCTTTGTAAATGATGTGTTTTAACTGCAACATCTTGAGATTTGAAGTCTTCAATATCATATACATCACACAATTACAAGTGCAGCTACATGTTGAGACACCTGTTTAAGAAATACATTATTCAGTTCCTGTTTATAGCTTCCAACGGAAGGTCCCTTGCATCTTTCACCATTGTCAAACGTACATTTATGCTTACAAACTGACAGTGGATTCAGAAGAAGGTCTCCTAGCTTAGTGAAATGTGATTATGGGTCTCACACCACAGTTTGTTTCAGGCCTCACACCACAGTTGATTCCTCCCCAGGTTGACAGCAGCCAGCTGAGCCCTGCAGATGCCAAACAGGTGTTTGCAGAGGTGGAGCAGCAGCTTCAGACATGTGAAGGCTGCATCAAGGAGATGTTCACCGACGTACAGACTCTGAGGGAAGGAGGCTACCCACAGGCAGACCCACTCCAGAAGAAGTATGCATGTGGTCAAACCCAGAGTGATATGCAGCTCTTGTTGTCATGGGGCTCCGTGTACCTAAGACGCGCTTTGGACTAAAATGGGGGTGATACAGAGCTACCCGTGAAATCGCATGTATCTCAAGTTTGGCGCGACCAATCAACTTCAAATTTGGAAGTAACTTAGATGAAATACCACTGATTCTAAATAACAACTTCTTCCTTCGAAAATCTGCATAATTGTTCCATAAATAATAATAATATTAGATCATTGTGACTATATAAAATCGGCCTAGACCAAACCCTTCCGCTCAGAATTGTAATACAAAACTTTCAGAGAATGTGGAGAGATATGCACTTTATAGGAATCGGTTTCCAGAAAAGAAGAATATAGCTTAGATTTGAAAATATTTAGAAATATAGTCCATTTTGGTAGAAATCTAGGGGGTAGGTATGACTTTATCTACCAATAGCTAGATATACGGTGATAAAGTAGTTTTTCTGAAAACCGATTCATAGAAACCGACTTCTTACGCATTGTTTGCACCCGATTTCAACTTTGTAACCCAATGGGAAGAGTTTGGTCTCGGGCTTTAAAGTTTAAAAGTCTAAATTCTGGTTGATTTCCTTCCTTGACCTGTCAATCTTTATCAAGCCCCATGACTGTGAATGAAATTAATTGTTTTCGCACCTCCACTCAAGGCAATTATCTTTAATTATGCATAGAGGGCAGACGGCAGCATGTATCCATTCAAATTCCACTTTACCACAAAAGTCTTTGTTTTAAACATTTGTTTCTTACTCCTCGAATTGAAAGTTCTGGGTTTGAAATGTAGTTTTATACATAGCAGCTATGAACCTGAACAACAGCTCTGCCTGTTGGGCAGAAGATAGCTAGATGTGTTATAATTTATCTGAAGAAAATTTCTAATAGACTTTTAACCCTGGCCCATTGAGATGAAAATCGTTTGATGTGTATTGACTTGTCTGGCTCCAAACATGCACCTATGACCATGTCCTGTATTTCCCTAAACTTCCTTGCTTATACCATTATACAGTTCATGTAATTTCTTGTCATCCCTCCGTTTTCAGAATGTTCATTTTGAGCGCCATGTACGTGCTTTAACTTTTAATCTTTTTGACGTGAAATGTTACATAATGGTAGCTTTGATTTGCTACATAATGGTAGTACTAGTTTTTCTTTAATAATAATAGGGGCCACCAAAGAACATTTAGCACATAAAATGGTCATTTTGAATCCTGTTTGTAAACTATATGGCCATCGTAGTCACATCACAGTAGGCTTTACCAGTCTTTGGGAGGTGGCTGGAAATATTAGAAATTGGCCAAATAGAGAGATAATATGCCGAGGGAGTTGGTCTGCTAGAAAGTACATTTTGCCGCGCCCGGGTGCATGTTATCGACCAATTTCGTACTCTTTCCTGCTACCTTCCGAAGCCTGGTAGAGGCTAAATATATATAATGCACAGACCTTGTCAGCCCTTGTCAGTTGGACATTGAGCGACGCACGCTGGCTAAATGACCAAGGACTATGAGATTATAACCTCCTTGCTACATGTATATCTTTGGACCTATATAGCTTGCTATGGGTCTTCGTTCACACAAGTAGGTTATAATTCTACCTCTATGGTTCACACAATGCGTTTAACGCTAGTATAAATTTACCTCCTTGATTAGTCCGTAATATAATCTCCTGGAATTCGAAATACACTATGTATTGGTACTAAAATGGAGGACAAAGATTGTCTGAACATGGCTGAAATCAAGGAGGTTATAACCTCGCACAGTTAAAGTCGGGGCTCCATCGCCAATTTTGTAAGACCCTGCTATATAGACTTGAGTTAGATCATGGAGGTATACCTCCATGGTTAGATCTGGTGGATACATGCTGTATTTAAGAAAATGTTTTTCATTTTTACTTTCTTTTCAAGCATGTTTCAAGCTATGAAGTCTTCTAACATAGAACACTGAAAATACAAAGAGGGTGTGAAGTTAGCTCAATACAAATGCAAAATAGCAGGAGGGGTAGTGGGTGGTGAAGCTACAGCAATTATCACCATACCTATTGCATATTTACGATCTTCTACTCGCACCTTGCTCATTTCAATGTCATTATAATATTAAAATGAGATCTTTGCTGGGAGAAAGAAAGCGCGTCTTAGGTACACTGAGGGTCAAGAGAAATGCACATGTAGAAAGAGAATAACAATGATGATAAATCAAAGACTGAATGTGAAATCTATATAACTTTCAGTGAGAGAATCCTCTTGTTTTTGTAGTCCGTCTCACAGTTCTGTCTTTCAGTCTCAAGTTCTGCTGGTATGTTGATATGTTCATGGTGCATTTTGCCGTATTGCAGGGTGTTCCTACTGCATGAGAGGTGGGTCCACCTGAAGAACTCCCTGCAGACCAGCAGCCAGGCCAGGAGATTTGGGGAGGTGCCGGCACAGCTCAGGTCACCCACAGGCATGAGTCTGTCTGAGGTGGGGGAGGAGGGCAGACTGCTACAGGAGTGTCTGAGCTGGGTACAGAACAAACAGGTAGGGCTGGGCTGAATTTTGCCATGATTGTTTTAACCAAACATTAATTGTTACCAACTTTTGCAAAGGAGATCTAGTGTGTACCATGGAAATCTTTTCCTATTTCAATAGAATTCTACATTGTTGCAGCAGTAGAATAGTTTCAAGGTATTATTTAAGAGAGAAGAATTCCTGCTTATTGAGTGTTCACTAGGTTTTTCTTTGGATCGGTATATAGGTACTGTATGTTTTAAGACGATGATGATTATATATATTTTGGACAATCATTTAGAAAAGGGGATTGTTTATCACTTATAGTAGTCATTTTATACAGGAGAACACTTTTTCACCATTTTATGTCTTCCCTACTGTAGTCGATTCTCGAAAGTGGCGAGTACGGCAGTGACCTCCCCAGTGTACAAAGACTTCTAGAAGAACACAGAGAACAGCACAGAGTCATCACTGAGTTCAAGGCCAAGGTCGACCAGTGCATAGCTAACAAGGTATGGATGGTAGAGTCTTGTACATGTATGTCTAGTATTGATGTTTGCATCAATTTAATGTCTGGATTTAACAACAGTTGTTCATGCATTTTTACCTTACTACAGGTATTGCCTGTCATTGTGTACAGCTATGATGAACTTCCTTTTTTGTATCGTTTCTTCCAGTCCAAGCTCATGGGACCCAAGTATCATGTATACTGTGAACAGCTTGCCAAGCTTGAAGAGGCTTATCCCAAACTCATGGTAGGTCCAAACTTTCTGAACTTATATGATACAACAAAGTAGATATACGATCCATAGTAACTTTCTTTCTTGTCCTCAGTAATATCAATGTGATCTGACTTTACTGGAGTGGATAGTTCACCGAGTCCATTGTTGTGGAATGATGTTTTAGTCAAAATTCAGTATTTGCTAGAACAGCTCTATTGATGGAGTACTGAAATGATGTGACTGGTCTGATTTACCTGAGAGAACTGCCTCTATCTTTCTAGGACATGTCTCAGAAGCGGCTGCAGTACCTGGAGTCTCTGCTAGAGTTCATCCGCCTGGCGACCCTGGAGCTGATGTGGCTGAACGAGCGGGAGGAGTTGGAGCTGGCGCGGGAATGGGACGACAAACCGGTCAACATCACCGAGCTCGACCAGCACTACGAGGTGGGGCGGACGGTTGGATT